TTTTGTGTGGGTTCCGACCGCAAGAACTACCCCCGCAGAAGCTCCTTTAGGGCTGTTTTCGAGGGCCGATTGGTTAAACTTGGAGGAAACAACGCCAAATGGTTAAATTCAAGAGAAAAACACGCGCTATTTTTTCAGGCCTCTTGAGGTCCTCGTCGAGTAGTGCCGGTTTCTCAACAACGTAACATTCACCGTATAGGCTAACGTAACACCCTCAATGGTTCTACTTCCTACATGCTCAAAGAAGTTACACGGAGTCGAGGCCAAACTGTCAGATCCGACATGAAAACAGAAAGGCTAAAAAGGCCGATTACGGAGCCATTCCTGTAAACATTTGCACCACTGAGCGTCTTACCAAAATCCGACTAATCTGTCACCAGAAATCACAGCTTCTACCTTTAAGCCTGAGTGTCTGATTCTGAAATGCTGCCTTCACTACCTTTTTTCTCAAGACCACAAGTTCCTTTCTTCAACAGCGATTCCTAAAGCAGACTATTAAAAGACTATTAAGGCTTATCAAGCGATAGATTTCACGGTCTGATTGCTTTTACTGACAGGTCTGTCAGGCCGTCATAATTAGCCCTCTTGTTCCACCTTCTTCTCCACTCTGCCTCCGCTCTTTACCCCATATTAGGATTCCCTGGTTTGAGCCACAGCCAAGTTTATCTATGTGGCAAACACTACAGATATGGCTTTCTAACTTTTATCAGCTGAAGTGATGTGATTCCGGCCTGACGCGCTCAGAACAGGACGAGAAGTATCTCCATCTGTTCCACAAAAGTTGCTATATTCTGTTATGAAGAAGATGACAAGGCTTCTCTTCTGCTGAACACGTGGATAAATATTTGACCGGCAAACTGACAGTCCTCGCTGCTGATTTTACATCTGTAGATAGTATTTTTATTATATTCTTCCTCTCTCTAGGGCAGCTTCCGCAACCTCATTGCCTGACGGCGGCTTTAACAAAATGCAGGTGCACGCTCGAACTTTACCGACTTTCGAATTCCCTCGTCCCCTCCACTAAATATATCCGAGAAAAATGGCTAAAAATGTTTAAATTGCCCCTCATAATCCCTGTTGCCGAACAGAGGAACTGTGATGTCTAAGTGCAGTGAAGGGCAGTTCACCACACGCATGCAAACATCACACGCCCAGCCCGCCGCCCAGCGTATACACTCTAACACACACACACACACACACAGGGGATGTTATGAGTGCAACTGCAGTGTAGGGGCCCTGAATGAAAACATGCTGGTACAGAGATGTATCAGATGTTTGTCCATTCGTGGAGAAAAAAAAAAAAAAAAAAAAAAAAGACATGTTGATCCAAGATCTAACTGTGGCTTCTTCCTGAAAAAGAGGCCTGTGAGTTCCAGCCCAGCAAGTGCTTAGCTTGGCACTTTCCCCCACCAGTTCCAACTAAAGCCTCTGCACAGTTTTATGGCGTGTGGTGATGCCTATAGCTGGTCTATGAAGGCTTTGTGCAGATAACTGACAGCGTAAGGACGACAGTTGGCCCGAGCGAGGGCGGCTGGTGATAGCGAGATCTTCCAAAGCGAAAGCAACGTGTCGCGCTGGTGGAAAAAAGTTGCGTTGATCCAATATTTTTACATAAACAATAGAGCAAGTTAATACGTGCAAAGTGGCCACTTGTAGTGATGATGATCACACATTATTACCCGCATTTCCTCACAGCTTTACACGTAGCATTTTAGCATCTTTCGGCTCATTGTTTTGGTTTGCGGGCCCACAAGTGCACTGTTTTGGTTAACTCTCACCACTTTAACCCTTTCAACGCTAAGTAACTTTGGCTTGAATTCCTCGGGATATATGCCGATATCGGCACTAATTGCAGCGTAACGGGCCGTTACTCTGTTATGACGCTGGCGAGAACCCTGTATGCAAGTATTATTATTATTTGCATAATTTATTTCCTGACTGAATCGCTTGTTCAAATATGGAGATCCCCACTGATAGACAATCAAAATGAAAGTAACAGAAAGTCGCCATATACTGGTCTGTGGCTTTCTCCCCGTCTACCCTGCTATAGTGTTGAAAGGGTTAATCATCAAAACAAAACAAAAAAACCAATATACATCATCTGTTAAGTTTCTAACACCTGAGAGCGAGCAACAAAAGACCAAAATAGAGCTAAAAGAGAAGCGGATACCCAAATGACTAAAAACACAACATCAAATGACCAACATTCGCCAACAACAACAACAAAAAGCCTGCTGCACCTTTAAAGTCCAACGTAAGTCCATTTGTTTTTGGTGGAGAAACAAAGCAAAGGAGAAGTTTCTGAAATGACTGGACATGTTTGCAGTTGAGAATCCAAGGACAAAGCCACCAAGTAAGCAAACTTTCGCTTCCATCAAGAGATAGCATTTGTTATTACTGGCATGCAGGAATAACACAATTTAAACCAAAGAATCTGGACGCTAGGTAAATTTTAAAGCCGCTATCTAACCCGGAAACTGTTGGTAGCGGTGCACTTTTCCCTAGTGGATGTTTGCTTTGGTAGCTTGGTGCAGCAAGCCGAGGTGCGAGGCAAAGACGTGTCCTTGTTTGTAGATAAGAAGTAGCTAAAAAAAAAAAAAAAAAGTTAATGTGGGTCACAGTTCAAAGTCTGAGGCTTGGAACCTCTGACACCGTCTTATTAGGCATTCAATGATTCCTGCAGAAAAGCCAAGCAACCTCATTTAGATGAATCATAAGATACTAAAACACAAATCTGCTCAAGAAAAAAAAAAAGGTGTGAAAAATCCTCCCTCACCCCCGCACAAACAGACACAACAGCAAGAGAAAGAGCCGCTCTCTCTCTCTTCTGTATTTGCATTTGATGGAATTCCAGTTATGGCCTCTGGCTCGGACCCAAGCGCCCCGCTATGCACTTTCTTCAACGCTCCTGTTTAATCAGCATCTTCTGCTTGGTCATTAGCTACAACAGCAACTCTTGGCCGTTGTTTACAAGCCCTTCAGGGGTAATGACTATTCACCTTAATCCATCACTGTAACAGATGGCTCTAATTATCAAACGTAATCTTCTTTTTAATGTGCTGGTCATTTTTCCTCACCTGGTATTTTGGTTTGGCCGATACATTTTTTTTTATATATATATATATTTTGACACTCAGGATTATTCTGTCCTCGAATCACCTCGACTGCTTCCATCTCTTCGAACTGGCTGCCCCGCTGCATTATGGTGCACTTGTGGCTACAGATGAAAATAGGGTTTTCTGCCTCCTTCTTTTTTTTTTTTTTTTGACAGATTCCTCTCTGTACGGCTGCAGAGCGCCGATGCAAAATGGCAGCTCTCGAAAGAAGAACTTGCGCCACTATTCTGAGGAACTGACACGGCAATCTGAGTTTTAACATCGAAGCTTTAGTACATTTTGTACCGTCAAAGAAACTGACACACTATCTGATTTTATTAAAGAGTGCAGAGGTTTTTTTTTTTCCTTTAAAAGATGCTCTTTATGTCGAGATGCTGGTGCACCTGTGTGTTAAACCTGTCAACTTCCAGCGTTACTGTCAAGCCGACAGTTTTTGGAATCCCCACCCCCCTCTCCCCTCCTCCCAAAACTACCTCTTTCCCCTCGCCTCCCCTCCTTCCCCTTCCCCTCCTTCCACCACCACAACAGGATATTGCTCCGCGGCACAACAGGGTTACGGCCGTATGGAGACATGTAGAGGCAAGCCGGGGACCAGAGATTCAGAGACGAATTAAAAAAAACAAGAGGCAGGAGGAGGCAGGAGAGCGATACGATCTCCCCAGCGCACAGAGAGAGGGATTGTGTTCGCTTTGGCCTGCCTCATATACAAACACTATATTAACATAACTCCTCTTTTCTTTTGTGCTGCGGGGAGACGCGCTTCCAGCTGGGAAAGAACCTGACACAGGGGTGAAGATAAGCGAAGGAGGGGGTTGAAACAGAGTATGAAAGGTGGAAGAGAGGGGACAAGCCAAACTGACAGAAACAAAAGTACAAAAAGATGTTGAGGAGTCTTGGAGAAAAATATTCTTATGATGTGCTGAATAAGGGTCCTGTGCTATAAACAAACCTTGAATCAAGGGAGTTAATCTTGTAGCGCTCCTAGCCAAGGCCATATTCTCTCTCTCTCTCTCTTTCCCTGCTGCACTGATGTTTTGCGGTGTCAGTCATTCCTAGTTAAACAGGGAGCAAACACGATCTTCTTCTATTTTGGTGTAGTTTGGCGATCGGGACCCGCAGCAGACAGGATGAGCAAGGGGGGAAGGTTTTTCTGGGCCGCAGAGCTGACAGGGATTATATGCTGCATCGCAAGAATGATAATAACAGAGAGGAGGCTGCTGGAAAAATTCAGGTGGCTCTGTGTTTAGGGTAAAAAGCCCCGTTAGAGCCGAGAGAGGAACTTTTGTCTGCTTTCAACACAAAAACTAAGATGTAAAGCTTTATCGCATCTCTCTGCAGTGTCACTTTAATGACAAGGTCCAAAAGCATACGTGTCCACCGCGTGGGGCCCGAAACACTGACGCAAGACCTATCCCGCTGCATCAAAGTCCAAAGTGTGCTGGTGCTGAGATGGAATGCTTCCACTTGAATTCCAGGCCTTTGCTATAGAACAGCATTTTGTCCTATCAACACACACTTTGCAGGCCTTGCAGCCTCTGTAGCCTTGGACAGCCTGGGAGTCACATGACGGAGCTGGATGTGTTGTCATACCACAGATCTTATTCGAAATGCTTTGTGTTGATCTTGAGTGATTAATCTGCATAAGTTTGAGATTTTATGAGCTAGTTCTGGTACAGATTATAAGTGGAGAGATGTTTCAAAAGTTAGAGAGGTTGTTGTTGATCTAAATATGGCTGTATACACTAGTACACCAAGTTCCTTTACTGTTTTGGGGTCTTTCCCCTCAAAGAAGGCCCAGTAAACATACCCCTACCCTTTAGTTCATCAGTCTAACCCTGCCAGACAGAGTAGGAGTTGACTGACTGTAATGGATGAATGACTTACTGTTGTTGGACTTGAGATCCCGGTGGATGACGGGGACGATGGCCTCACTGTGCAGGTACAACATCCCTCTGGCTATCTGCACGGCCCAGTTGACCAGGACGTGCGGCGGGATGCGACGGCCCGCCAGCGCCCGGCTCAGCGGCCCACCCGAGGCGTACTCCATGATGAGGCACAGGTTGGGCTCCTGCAGGCAGACGCCTTTGAGGGCGATGATGTTGGGGTGGGTGAGCATGGCGAACAAACGGGCCTCCTGCCTCACGTTCTGCGCCGTCACGCTGATGTCCTCATCGGGGTCTTGCCGAGCGGCCTTCACCGCCACCAGCCCGCCTCTCCATGTACCGCGATACACCTTCCCGAAACCGCCGACCCCGATGACCTCCTCCAGGCTGAGCTCTCGGAAATCCACCGCCTCGGGTTCGAACTCGCCCACCACGGCCGGGCTGAGCTCGCCGACCACGCCGCTGCCCGGAAGCTTCCCGTATCCACTCGGCTTGAAGGAGCCGTAGTTGGACGGGAAGATGCCCACCTTGTTGTTGACCTTCCCCGCCCACCAGCCCTCATCCCCTGATATCTCAGAGTCCAGAGAGAGGACCTCCACCAGGTCGCCTTTACGCAAGGTGAGCTCATCCTTACAGGACGCCTCGTAGTCGAATAGGGCCGTCCACACAGGGTTGGTGAAGTTCCCTTTTTGCGATTGCTCCAAATTTTTCCAGTTCGACAGCGGGCCACGACTGAATATGTTCTTCAGTGGCTCCATGGAGCCTCAAGCAGATGTTTTGACTGGATCTGATTTTGCACCCCAAGGGTTTGAAAATAAAGTACAAAGGAGTACTTTATTGCGCCTCGCTCCCTTTCCTGTCTGTCTTGTTGGCTCATCAGGGACCAATGAAATGTATTCAAAAGTTGGACCAACAAGTGCGAGGATTCAAAGACGACTGAACGCCAGGTGTCTTTCATTCGTCTCCACGTCCTACCCAAAGCCTCTCCATTTACAGAATCAGCTGAGAGATTGCTTTTGTTTGAGCGCGTCAAAGCTCAGAAAGACAGCAGCCGACTCCGCTGGATTTCTCTCTGCTCAAGTGATGTGGTGTGTGGTTTCCCAACACATGCTTTGAGCACAATATCATTTCACCGGCCTGTATTTAAGAGGCTCTCCAATCACCTCATTATGGCTAAATGAGCTCCTCTCTTCCCTCATTCAAAAAGTGCCACCTGTTGAGTTCTGATTTCAAAGAGTAGAGGAGTATAAAAAAAATAAAAATAAAATAAAATCCCAGAGTTTCTCCAAAAATCAAGTCTCCCACAACTCTTTAGCTGTCCATTTTGAGTTTTTATGTATTTTTAGCCATTAAGTGCAGTGGCCACCACAAGCAGGAAGCGCTGAGAAGCGGAGAAGAATAGCAGGAAAGGAGCATTCAGTCCAGCCAACCAGTGTTTTACGACAAGTTTCAGCGCTCACCAGTTCGCATTATTGAGCCCAAACGTCCAATAACCGACGGCAACTTTGCGGCGCTCCCGCAGGAAATCCCGCATCCCATTGCGCCAGAGTATCCATGCACACGGTGATGTGAGGAGCGCACAGACAGGCGAGCTTTATCATAACAGTAAAAAAAAAAAAAAGAAAAGAAGAAAAACTTAGGAACTGCCGATTTGCTGTGGAACAGGAAGAGCTCTCCAAACCTGCTTTGGCTTTACTTTCCAGAGGGAAGAAACACGCAGTGAAAACAAAATCCCGTGAAGTTCCTGCTGGGAGTTTTTAGCTCGTGGCCTCTTCCGGCTCGGTGTTGTTCCAGTCGGTGTCCAAACAGCGCAACACCTCCATCATAACTTCTTTACACGCTTCTCTTCCTCGGTTCGGGGCTCACTCGCCAGGTCCTCGAACCACTGCTACGTCTGTGCTTACAGTCAGTAAAGAGGGTGGGGTTTCAAAACTTTTTCTCTCCCAACAGGAAAAGAGTCAGATGACAGACCGCGGTGGTCAAGTTAGAGGTGAGAAACGACGACGCATCCTGTGAGGACTGTCAAAATAAAATCCGGACGCGGGTTTGTTGGACAGAAGTGAATGCAATATCAAATAAATGTCAGATTTGTGTCACCTCACAGTAACTGCAATATTTAAACGTTGCAGAATAGAGAATTTTCACTTATGTAAAATTAAAAAATAACAGTTCAATTTTAGTTTTAGTTTTAGTTTATCAGTTGTGCTGACTTTTGTTTCACTGAGTTCCTACTGTGGCCAGGTGTATTTTTTCATTACTGAGATTCAGATCTTTTATTATTTCCAATACTTGTATGTCCACCTTTGTTTTGGATAACAGATTGGAGTCAGGCATCTTTCTTGGACAGATCATAGTTGTCACTTTTTCCTTCTTTAGAAACTTGTAGAACTACGGCAATGTTCTTAGGATCAATATCATACTGAAATATTCCTCTTCTATCAAGTTTCTGTAGACTGGAAGTCATCTTTTCTGTCAATATCTTCCTCAGGCATCCCCTTATGCACTAGCACAGCTCCATATCATAATACTTCCACCTCCGTGCTTCACTGTGGCCAATATGCATTAAGTGAGATAGTTCACAACAAACAAGCTGGACCCAATCTGAGCTGAACAAATTTATCTAATTTGAATGCTCTCAGTAGACATTATGCACTGTTTTAACTATCAGATAAACTCAGATTTGCCCATCTCATCAACTTTTTTCTTTTTTAGGTTTGGTTGTCCATCGCATTAAACATTATTAAAAGTCACACTAACTTTAACAATCAAGTATTATGTCAAGCAAAGCACAGTTAAATAACACTCCCAAAGCTCCAAGTACACAAAGGTGCAACAATTTTACATCAGTGTGACAAGTAATGTATTTATTTCAACCCCTAAGTGAAATCAGAATACACTGGTTCTCTGGTTATTTACTTAGGTTGCATTAGCAGTAGCTAATGAGACTTTTATTTTACAGTTATAGTTTTCCGGTTTTTCTGATGGTATTTCCGCTGCTAACTTGACGCTGCTGCAAGGCTCGCGCCCTGACAGTGCGTCAAGTCTGCGTGAAATAACTACACGTATAAAAATGCAGAGAAAAAGATGGTGTTCAAATAAAAATAAAAGGTTTTTTTTGTTTGTTTTTTACCAGCCGTAGACTGTTGCTCAGTTGAAATCGTCAGAACATCCATTTCATAATATTAATCTATAGTGTAGTTCAATAATATTCTGCGAAGAAAGGCACATTTTATAACTCTTACGTTTTGTTTTGTACAATACAATACAGCATGATCAGGCTTTTATTTTGAAATGTACACCAGACACCTATTTTATCCCTTTATGGCTAAACTGATGTTGGTGCTAACAGGTGGCAAATGAACCTGGGAAAGAGAAAAAGCTCTAAAACGCCTACAAAAGAGTAATTCTTTCCAACACAATAACAAAAGACATTATCATGTACTATAAATGTAATCGTGGGAGTATTTTGTTGATAATTATCTTGAGCAAATAACCCCATAAGGTCGAATAAAAATCAACATTTCTAGGAAGAGATGAACTCAGCTGGGTTATGGCTTGTTTCTGTCTTCCATAACTGTCTTGCATGTCAGTATTAAATTTTTAAATGGTGTTTTTTTCCCCCAAACTCTGCATATATTCTTTATGTTAATGTATGGCATTTAATAACCTACATGATTACTTTAAAACAATGCCATCTGCTCTGTTCCTGCTTGTTTCTTTGCTCCCATCTGATGTAACAACACAATACTGAAGTGTCTTCCTACTGAATCAGTTGAAATATTAGGCTTTAGTCACACTCAGTACAAATCCTCAAGGACAGCAGTTCATTAAAAACGTCTGGACGGTCAAATAAATGAGGACATACAAAGTCCTGCTGTTTCTGTGAGGAGAAAATTGTTGAAGATTTTCTTTTGTCTGATGCTACTTTGAACAAAATAAAAGGCGGAGAGAGAAAAAAAAAAGAAAAAAGGAGTTTAAAGATTTTCTTCAAGCAGCACATTTAAAACTCTTGAGCGTATTGGCTGGCTTAATGTTCTTAGTGTGGTTTGATGGGCTACTTACCCGACTGAGGTAGAAGAGTTGTTGGTGAAATTTCACTGAAGTAGGGTCAGATTTACTGCTTTGCTGTTCGACTTCAGAAAAAGTCAAGTGTAGCCAATTTAAAAGTTTTATTCCAAGGGCGATGCTCTTACTTTCACAATCATCTTTCATCATCTGCAAAAAAACCCGCTAGAGTTAAAGCAGAGTAGATTCTGTTAATAAAAATGTACAAACTATTGCCTCAACAATGTAAATCCAGGTTCTCTTCTAAACTAGATGGACTACTCAATTACCACTGGCCAGTTTCTAATATAATATATATGAATATATGAAAAGTCTCCTGTGATTAATACTGTATTCATTATAGGCACTGACCTATGGAAGCCCATTTGTGCCAAGAAAGAAAAGAAAACGCATAAAAGCTTGGATGTGATAAAAAATAAACATACATGGTAAGTTAAAGTTAAGTGATGGAGAGGAAGTTAAAAATGGCCTCATTTTATTTTCTATACTGCATTATTCAATTTGTCGTTAGTTTGTATTTTCGTGGCAACATTATAGCCAATCCCACACAAGATAGCATGACTCCACTATTTACCAAACATAAAAAGCATTAAAAAAAAAAAATCCATAACGCTACATGTGTATCACATATGAGGTTTATTCTAATAAGACATTTTCTCACCTCGCATTTTTTCCTAGAAAATAGCTCATTTAGATAAAACAGCTAACTCAGACTATGGCCGTTAAGTATGATTAAGTTACGATGTTTTTCCCCAAAAAAATAAAAAATAAAAAATTACAATTCCTAGATCTCATATGGAATACATTCACTGTCTCCATACATCTGTGTGCAGCCCAAAATCTGTCTGGTAGTTGTACTTAAATATTGCAGTTTTGTGCGATTATCTTAAACTTTGCTAAACGGCAGAGATAATATGGTACATTTTGCCCCGTAGATACAGGTACGACATAATAACTTTGCAGTTTTCAGAGACTAAACTAAACAATATCTTAAGTCTGCACCAAAAACTGATAGTTTAAAACTGTAAAAAGGGCATTACAGGCAGGATAAGGGCGGATTTTAAATTAATACGCTCACTTGTGCTAGAATATTTTCAGTCGCTTTTTTCATGTAAGGATCTCTTGATCAAGTCTCAGCTACTCAATTGGTTACTTATGTTTCTCTATACGTATGAAATGAAATATTTACTTCGCGTTCAATACATGTAAAAAAATAAATTACTAAAAAATCTCCCACATACCACCTACCACAGCAGAGCAGGAACATAATCCTCACAAGGTATTTAAAAATAGCCTGGAGTACAGATTTGCGAGGATATTAATGAGCTGTCTCCCAGTGTGCCCTCTGATCAAGGCCTGAAACACAAGGTGCATTTTAAACATGCGCTTTTCAAGTCGCCACACAATGAAAGGCTTTAATTCTCCCAAAAGGTCAGGGAATTCCTTTTCTCGCCGCATTTCCCATGTTTCTAAAAGTCAGCGGCTTGGTGGGAGGGGATGGGAATCAGAGGGCCACCTTTGGCCCCGCCGGCTGCTGTGTGGAAACAGTGTGCTTCCTTCTGCTGGCCCTTTGATGGCTCCCCTTCCCCTCCCTCCTTGCCTGCCCCATGGCTGCCGTTTGTTTGAACACCGACCTCCTAAAGTCAACCTCTACGCCCCCAACCCGCTCGCCCGCCTCCCTCCTACACCCACACACACACACATATACACCAAAACCCCACCCTCCTCACAGTCCGCTGAGTCAACGCTTGTGCAGGAAGGATGCAGTTGTTTTTGCTGCCCCGTTGCTTGGTCGTTCGGGTTGAGGAGGGAGGGGAGGGGGGTTGTAGAGGAGGCTGCATCTACACGACAAAATGGGACAAAAAAGAAGAAAGAAGGCAGGAGGAAGAGGAAAGAGGCTGGACGCACACTCGGGGCCCGAGTGTGGCGACTGCTCTGGGAAGCAGTGTGACTCTGATGGTAACAATCGCTTTTCTGTGAACATCTTTTCCCACAAACCTGTACTGTCTTGCACTTATCTGATTCAAATACCAGGAGGAGGCTGCAATCCCGCGGATAAATACCAGCTCTTGTCTTTCAGGTTGCATGAGTCACTGGCCAGCAAACCAACATGAACTGCATCCACGGGAGACTTTTCTGTATTGCAACACATAGAAAGGAAGGAAATCAAAATGGCAAGGAGGCACAGCATCGAGCGAGGACTACAAAGGATGTGCTCCACGCCTGTGAAACTCAAGTATGAAAGGGGAAGCACTTTGAAATATTTTACTAAAAGATGCAGGCGGATTTTTTTTTCTTTTGCCTTTCTAGCCAGTGAGCAAAGAACCTTGTCTAAAGAAGACACCGTTGCAGATTTGCTTGATGTGGGAAGAATTTCCGGCTTTCATCTCCAAAACGGCAAACAAACCAAAACAAGAGATGCTCCTTTTTTTTTTTTTTTTTTAAATTGAAATATGAACTTTATTTCACCCATACAAAATAAAAAGAATGTTAAAAGTTTACAATACAGTGTCAACTGTCTGTTCGCAACCATTTCATTACAAGACTGACACATAAACGGGAGCCCCATCTTATAACAATTAAAACAATCTAAAAGAGGGGGGGGTGGAGAAACAAATGCTGAAGGTAAATTTACTCAAAATCGGAGGGGGTGGCCAGAATTGAAATTAGAGAGGACAATGGAGAGAAACAACTTTAAAAACAAAGTTATGGTCCAAGAGTCACAGTATACTTCGGATTGGGCCATTCGGGTGGGGGGAACTTAACGGTGGTATAAAATAATATACAAGCTCCAGCTGCCGAAGCAACTAACCTCTGGCGGCGTCCAAAACAACAATGAACACAATGCGAATCCTTAACCTGCTGATGTGCGGTTGGCTCCAGGGCTGTGGAAGTTTACAGTTCTCTTGATAAAAACGTGACTTAAAAATAGGAACTAATTCAAAAAAGCAGCGGCTAGCTTAACCTATAGTAAAAATACACCTGCTTCCTTGTTTACGTTACAGCCTGACGACTGGACTGACTAGCAAGTGGTGACAAAGCCGGGAAGTGGGGGCTCACATCTTAAACAGCGGTGTGTCGTAGCCAATCGATAACACGGTAATGTACCACTTCAGCGGCCAGCGTTTCCCTTCGCCGTCCAAATACTCTACAAACTGCTGCCCTGAACTCAGCTAGTCGCCTTTTGTATGAGCAACGAAGGCCAGAATAAGGCGTTAACTACCACTTATGGAATATTATCTTTAACCGACCTGAGGATCTGAATGACGACGACTGATATGTTCACTTCGCATCTACTACAGAGGATTGAGGAAGAAAGAAAAGTGCCGAAAAGGGGAAAAAAAAAACAACAAACCGCACCTATCCTGCCTCTGCGGGGGGGCTCGTAGCAAAAAACAGTGACAACTGCCATTTTTTCCTAGTCAAAATTGAACGACCGACTTGTTAAAAAACATCCTCGTTGGATTCTCCTCTACAATAAAATAAAACCTTTTTTTTTTTTTCCTTAAAAAAAAGAAAAGAAAATTAAAACACTTAATGTACAACAAGTTTTCTGTCTCTTGCGGTGGTGGTCGTCGAGGGCTGTGATGAAGAGTCTTTCCCTCGTCTGCTTACAGCAGCCGCCGGAAGAACAACATAAGAATCGGAAAATAACGTTTTAAGAGTGTGTGTGTAGGTGTGTGTGTGTGTGTGTGTGTGAGAAAGAGTGAGCGAGACAGAGTGGTTGAAGGGAGAGTAGAGGGAGCTAAGAGTCATAGTCTTCATCGTCGTCATCCTCGTTTTTGTGCGGCGCGGGGGGTGGGGGAGGCGGCGCAATGCTCATCATGGAGGGGTGGGGGGCGAAGGCCATGCCGCCGGGGGACTGTGCTGGAGCCATGCTGCCCATCGAGACTATGTTGCCCATGTGGATGTACTGGGGGGACGCGTTTGAGCTGTAGGGGGGAGGACACAGGCAGAGGTGGAAACCAGGTGTTAGGAGTGTTGTCTATTCAAATTAACCCTCTGAACCCCAAGCAGTTCCTCTGCGTTTATTGTTCCTGTCACATTTTTCCGCACTGTGGCCTCATATTTCCTTGTAATATAAAATCCTGCACCGTCATGGAAACAGCACAGTTAGAACTTGCGCACTTATGACGCCACAAACATTATGAAATTAACACAAAAGCTGAATTTTTGGATTGTTTATGTGATGAAAATGAGGGGAAGAATGATCAACATGGTGATATCAATACTAGAAAACAAATTGTGGCAGTATGGACGTTTCACATTTTAATTAGTTTGATACCAAACGCTGCCCACAGTTTAGCTGAAAAGTCTCAACATTTTTGTCAAGTTTCATTCTGTCTACTCTGATTACAGGTATACGGTTTTCTTTTTCATCAGACAATGAGTATATTTAAGTAGGAGCTGTTTTCACAATCTGTCAGACTGCCTGGCGGGTCACACCTTCTCCAGGAAACCACCAGCTGATAAAGACACCACAGACGTCAGTGACGTTTCTGAGGAAGACTGAAGTGTCGGTCGAAACATGTCAAAAAGGTAGAAACAGCTCCTACTTAAATACACTCATTGTCTGATTAAAAAGAAAACCGTTTACCTAAGTGGCTAGTTTGTCACGGCTTCTCAGTTGTGCACAAGTTTTTGAGCATTTACTGGCACAAACGAGTTTTTAAATGAAACAAGTACATTAAATTGATTTTGATGAAATAATGTCCAGCTCAGATTCTAGTTAACTTCTTAGACGGAGCTGCAGGTCACACATTAGGTCGAGCACCAGTTAAAATCCAACAATTCTGTCAGTATTCACATCATCAGGTTCTAATAAATAATGTAATTTTTGTCATTTTTTAAGAACAAAATGCCTTTTACACCCATCAGTGGATGTTAAGGGTATTTTTAGAGCGCTACCTTTTAAATGTAAACGTCATAATCACTGTCAAACCGAGTGTGCACCACCTCCCACAGCGGAAGGTGAACCATATACTTAAACCTGCATTGAATCAGTGAATTCAAGACTCTGCAAAGCTTTTCTCATTGTTTCTAGTGGAAAAACAGCGCCCCCTTCCTGTCACTGGCCGTCAAGTCATCCAGCAGAATTGCACAGCTTTTGTACTTTATGCGAGCAGAGTGAGGTAAGGACTTATCCGTCATGTAAACGTGACAGTATTTGCTGTTAAAGTTAGACCCTATAACTCTCAATAGAAAAAATAACTCCTTCTTTTTTCACATTGTCTAACAGATGAAGAATAAATCAATAAAATGTGTTGTTCTTCAACTCACATAGCTCTGGGATTTGATTTTGATTATTGCCTTTATTCTTAAATGACAGAACATTTACAGAAAGCACGATATAAAAAGAGAGTGGGTTGAAAAATGATCCGAAGTGAGAGTACGAGTGTTTTTATTTTCTCAAAGACTGCACCAGTGACAGCTTTAAACTGATCTTGAGAGTTATGTGTTAAAATTGCCATCGCATTCAAGTGTTCTTGTCTTAAAGGGGCCCGAAGGTGCACTCGACCACACCTACTGTCACGATAAAGTGAAAACTACATAATACCTAGTTCTGTTTTGACAGATAAACCGGTGAATTCTATGTTCTCCTGCCTCTTGTGTTATAAAAACGATTTAAAAATCTATACAAAGGAGGGTTTGTATAGCAGACGCATGGTTTTCACAGCAATATGTGCAAGTACCAAACACCAACCCTCCCTCTCCCTGATTTTACAGCCTGAGAGGATAATTACAAATACATTGTGCTACCAGCTGTGAAGTGTAATCTGTCTCATGTGGATTTAGATCAAGTCTGGTCAAACAGTGTCTCAACACAGATGGTCTGTTTCCGTACCTGTGGAACCTGGATGCAGCCTGCAGATTTGTGCTTGACTGAGAGCCGTCCTCCTCGTCCCCGTCTGTCTCGCTGTCTTCCGAGTCGTCCTGTAGCCGTCGTGAGGAAAACAACGGTGAGCCCTCTCACCTCAAATAAACACAATAAATCATCTCTGCCGACAGATAAAGGCTTCCGCATGCAAATCGTCTCCCACCTCTTGCTCCGACTCTGTTCCAGACAACTTCTTGTCCTTGCCTTTGGAGCCAGCCCCTCCGTTCTTGCGACCGGATCCTGGTTTTCGACCCCTGAGGAAGAAAACAAAAAAATTTATATATAAAATGACGAGTGAAATGCTGTTTCATCTTTAAAAACAAACGCTGCTTCTCCACCATCGTCAAGTTTTTGAAGGGAGTTGTTCTAGACGATAAATAAAACAAGACAGTCCCATAGGCTTTTTTGGGACAATACTTTGTGCATTAATGCCCATTTCAGATAGATGTTTTCAACAAAAAAAAAAAAAACACAGCCACATTTCAGGAGCTCGTAAACAAATTAAAAGTTAGAAAGTTATTCTGCAGCATAAATCTTCTGGAAATGAGTCCCCGTGCAAAGTTAAGATAACTCCAAGGGAGGAGTTTGACCGATACTATTGGTGGAAATTGAGCCGTTTATATTTTCAGACGCTGTGACTCCACATGCCTCATCCCAACAGCTGACACAAATTGTCTAAATATTAGGAGCTAACACCCACTTTAAATTGAATCAGAATCAAATCAGCCACACTTCTAGCGAAAAGAAGACTTCTTACTCATTTAATTTATGTGTAATTCTCTGCCAAGCTCTCTGCTACAAATTAGCTGCGGTGCCAGTGTTTGATTTGACAGTCAATACTGCTTTTTCTCCTCTACAATTCCTCAATAATTAATTCTCGCTGTGTGGAGCTGGGGGAAAGAAGAAAAAAAAAAGTGCCTGCTCTTTAATTTTCTGTTTTTGTTTTTTTTGTAGTTAATCTATAATCACAAAACAAAATGGAAACAGTAATGAGGTAACCCTGCAAGGGTAACAAACACATCGGTGCAGTCAGTTTCGATTTAGAGCAGTATCTGTTTGGAGAAAATGAAAAGAAAAGCAACCCCATGTCCATATAAAGAGTGTCGTTCTGTTAGTTATGAATCACTGATTTCCACCCTAAACCAATGCGGTTGCGTGTAACCATTTATCAGAGATGACTGATTAGATATTTCCTTAGCAAGTGAGTCAAAAGTAGCTGACTCTTTGCAATGTATCTCTAATAATCCTCCTACTGTTGAGCTTGTGTAAAAAAAAAAAAACAAGTCGTGACTCCTTAATTGACAGTCACTGAGCAATACAAACTTATTTGTGTGTCTTGGCGTGACCGATACCTGCGTGGGACTTTTTCTCCTCCCCCCTCGGTGTGGTTCTCCTCCCCCTCGCCCTGCATGTCCGGCACCGTCGCCACCAGGTCTTTTAAGAAATCAAACTGTTGCTCCAGCTCAATGCATTGCTTTCTGTAAACACACAGTCACGCTTTTCAGTCATTGCCTGCCTTCCCGGCACTCAGAGCGGAGTAAAAACTCAACATAATGCGAAACAGACAGAGTGAGATAAATGGTGTTATATATTCATTTCAACAACGTGTACAATCTGAGTCACACTATAAGATTCTCTTGGCAGCCACGTCTTACTCATGCTCAGAAATACTTTCAGATACAAGGGATTTGGCAATGTGTTGCAAATCCGCTCGGCAGCGCTGTCGGGATAACTCGAGCATAGCAGGTACTCCCACAATCCACTATATCATTCTATGTAATAAGGTGCATTAAAGTGTCTTCTTCTAAATCCAAAGGAAATGAAGATATAACACCCTTTTCAGCTGCATGCATCCAAAATCAAATTACAACTTTATATATGATTTCCTATTATTATTATTCCGTTGCCTGAGTTCACATCTGCGGCACGTCAGTCAGAATGAATTACGCAGAGGAAGTCTCCCATGAAATGGAACTCCAGCACACCAGGCTTATTAATGCAGACAAACACAGAATACTTACAGATGTGACGTCGTCATTGTCTTTGCGTTCCTAGATTGGGTGACTTGACAAGCCTTTGTAAGCAATGATTCCAAAAAAAGCTCCAGGGCTCTCGCTGACGTCTCGGTTAAGGAAATAACGCAGCAGCAGCTTCTGTGCCCATTACTTAAATAAAACAAACTCACTGACATAGCCTGGTTATAGCACAAAGCCTCATCAGATTTAATTATGAGAATTGAAAACATAAACAGTTTGCCTGGGTTCAAGACAACAGGCTGATCACACAGCAGTCATTACAATAAATATCAGTGATGTAAAAAAAATGCCACTGCCTTCTGCTTAGGCAAACTCATAACAGTTGTATTCAATATTGAACAGAGCTGCACAATATTGGGGAAAAAAACTGACATTGCATTATTTTGTTTGTCTGTGATATATATTGTGAAAATGCAGGAATTTTCCACCAGATGACTTGAATAACTCTTTACAAAGAAGGGGAGGGGATCAGCCTTGAATATCAAACCTAATTTTAACTTGGAGACATTTGTTTTCAGTGCAAACCATCTGGAACCTTTCTCATACGGTGTAACACTGGCAAAGGCATCTGAAATAGATGTTTTCCCTCCGATGGCGTTTAGATCTGGCTTTGCACTCGTCATACAGAGCTATGTCGGTGCCGATTTAAATGATTAACAAAATATCTGAGTTGCCTCATGGCGTGGGAACAATTGCAAGATGCTGCTTAGAGAGTAACTGCTTTTGTATAACTGACGTGTTTCTTTTTGCAAACAAATCTTCCCCCTTTCAGCGTTTCTCTCCCGCTCCTCGCTCACTTTGCCGTGCACATTATGCCGACATGTTAAAAAAATTCTGTCTTGTAAAGGAAGTTAAAAAGAAAACTGCACATCCAAAAACGCTTAAATCAAATCAAGTCAGCCTCTTGTATGATCAGACAGCAAAAGAAGTTGTAGCAAGATATGTGTGAGTCTATTTGCTTTATTTCACTTTCCTGCAATGTGACTCCTGCACATGTCACAATGTCAGTCCTAAAACAATATAGCCCTAATCACTTTTTCTTTCATTATTAATTCATCTTCTATTTCACCGTCTTCTATTGTTGATTTTTGCAGTCAATCATTCAAAAACTGCAAAAACCTGTGGAATTTGCAAACTGAATATTTTCGTGAGGAAGGATACAAATAATAACAGGTACTGCTGCCGCCACTTTTCCTATTTCTTCATCCGTCTGCATAATCTTCTTAATCCTTGCCTGAAAAGAGAAGAAGTCCAAATGATGGATGCGTGTGCAGTGAGTCAATACGTGTGAACACAGTGACACTACAGAGTTGTATCATTTCTAATAACGTGTCAGTTCACACAGAGTTCAGGAAACATGCTGCTGCACTGAATCAGATTTTACCCAGTCTTTATATGTGTGTTCAGTGGGACCAAAAACTAACTTTTAGCAGATTTTAATGAATTTATGTCTTCTTTATCCACACCTAGGAAATTCTCTAGACTATCTTGCATTGTTTTCTTTTGTTGCTTTGCATTGATATCCTGATTCACTTCTCCAATTGTCAGTTTCATGTTCAGGGTTTATTTCAAGGATACATGTTGGAACATTTGGTGCGTCAAAAATAAGCATCACATGATGTTACATTTCAACATATAGACGACGTGGAAGCAGCTCTACGCTTGCACACATAATGACAGCATACAGATCCCTATGCACGCCACGTTTCGGTGATCACAAATGAGTTCTTTTCATCATTTTGGCATGTCAAAATAGCAAAAATGTTTCCTTTAGCTGGCCATATTTGCAGTGTATCAAAGTCTACTGTTGATGGAGGCCTGAAAAGCAGGAAGTATGGATACATCTATATTTCTATACACTATCTAAGACCCTAATACCATCCTTGTTTGAACATTTTGACTTTTTCTTCATTTTCAATTAATTGTGAAAATAACTAAAATATGACCTGCTGAAACCATCTAATCATTTATATCTGTTGGAAGCATTTTTTTCTCAGTGTCCTCATCAACCTTCATGTCTCTTGGCTTCCCACATAAGATGTTTTGAAAGTGAAAATGCAAAAATTCCCAGGTCTGAAATCATGTGAAATTATTCACAATCAGCCTAAATGTTTTACTTTCGAGTCCCGAATGGAAACTAAATAAGCTCTAACAAAATCAGAGACCATGGAGCAGCACATCCACCTGAGATGACACAAACTGACCCTGACAACAGACTTCAACATCGATTTGAACTCAATGTTTAACTAAAACGTCAGCAAAACAATAGTCACTTTTTCGAAACGGGAGAATGTTAGTAAAAAAAAAAAAAACTCCTTCCTGGTACGTTAATCAGATTAAAGCAATGTGTGCACTGTAAATACCTCTAAGGATTGCTCACTATGCAGCTAAATATAACAGTTTGGCTCAGCTTTGTAACGTTCACATTAGCTTTACATGCTAAAAACATTAATTAGTGGGCTCACTGGGTAAGTTGCGTCGCACGCCTGAAACGCAACTTAACAAACACTAAGATGAAAGTTAGCTAGCTAAATCAACGACTTCTCTAATGCACTTGGCATTTTATCTGAACTAGCTTGCTAGTCGGCTTCTTGGCTCTCTAGCAACAAAAGAGGCCAAATCCGATTCAAGCTAGCTAAAGTAGTTAGCTTTCGATTTCAGAGTTTGCTAACGTTAGCTAGCTTTAACACCGGTTCGGCAAACTTACCGGAGGGAACCTGGCGTTGTATTTCTTCTTTTTGCTGGGCATATCTAAATTACCTGGGTGGCTAAAGTAAAATAAAAAAACGGACTATATCCTGAAATATTCTTCTATATCATATATAATTCAGCTCCACCGCGCACACACCGGATAGCGGTAGCTACCCGGCTAACTCGTTAGCACGTCGTCGTCACTCGTTCCTCGTTGGCCGGCAGGTCGGTTGTTTGGCTGCGCAGGGTCACAGCGCCGTCCGCTCCGTGCACATGTTGTTCCGCAACTTGTGCTGAAATACACTCACAAAACATGAGCTAATAAGACAACAGTGGCGCCAAACGAAATCAAAAAATAACAGAGAAATTCTAGCTTGCATATTTACGGATCTACACAACCTAAGGAACCTGCTGTATTCGTGTAAGAACATAATTGAATCGAGTATAGCAACATTAATGCTTAAAAATAATCCCAATGTTACAGCAGGGGTGTATTGTACTAGTTAAAATAAAAAAACATATCTTTATTGTATCATTTGTGTGACGAAATTAGAAAAATTGTAGGTTATGTAGCGGATACTGAAGGCACTAATAGTTAAGTTCCACACATTCTATTGGAGTTTGTCATATCGCTCTTTGATACAGAACAGCAGCGCCGCGCTAGTGCGGAAGATCAACACTGGACAACAAACTTCGACATCTGCAGGTAAATTAAGCCTTAACGTCCAAAGTTTACGATAAATGTGCGGTTATTTATCTCGTCTGTAGGCAAACTGTTCCCGTTGTAGCGTCAGTTGTGTCCAGCAGCTGGATGTAAACAGCTAATCTTTGTCTAAATTTGTCAGCCAGACGAATATGCGCCTATTGTAAACGGTTAGCATTTCGGCTAGCTGCATTGCTAGCTACACTTGCAAATAATTTCTGCGTGTTTAGTCACATGTCAGCTGTAGATGGTAAACAAACGAGTCAAACAACTCTTGTTTTTGTGAAAGATTCAGCGGTAGAGAAACGCTGTGGGTACTGAGTAAGTGTTGCTAACGTAGCAGGCTAGTTAGCCGCGTTCGCAATCACTCCAACTCCCTCAGGACTGAAAGCTAGCTCACAGGCGGGGACCTGTGGTTAAAACGTACATTTTAATTCACAGCACTTGTTCTCTTCAACAGGGCAAGCCCCAGGACTTGTTTAATAGTCTCACACTGCCAGAAAAATGGAGGAGGAAGAAGCTCCTGTAGATGGCGAGGTGGAGACCCCCTTTGCTGCAGAGACCTTTGCAGCTGAGGCCATGGCTGCAGACATGGACCCCTGGATTGTGTTTGACTCCAGAAGAACTCCCAGATCCGAGTTCGACGGCTGGCTGGAGAGCAACAGGCCCTCTCAAGTGTACAGATTTGGTGATGAGGAGGGTGGTGTCAGCCCCGTGGGGTGGATTGCTGTGCTGGGCCCAAACCACTGCCCCAGTGGGGGGGACGTTATGGGTCTCCAGGAGAGTTGGGAGAAACTTTTGGCCAGCTGCCGGCCTCTCAGCTTCCAGACAGTGAAGGAGCTGGCCCTGAACCACGGGGTGCTCACGGGCAAGTGGCTGATGCACTTGGACTCTGGTTTCAAGTTGGACCATGCATGGGAGTGTGTGGCCAGAGCAGCCCTAGATGGCAAGATCTCCCTTGTCAAAGTGAGCCCCTTTAATCCCAAGGCAGAGGGCAAGCAGGTCATTTGCGCCTACAACCAGAACTTCACTGATGAGAGCGAGGTTATCAGGCTGGATTCAGTCATTCGTGCCACGGGGGTCAAGTGCCCTCTCTCCTACAAGCCGGACGTGTACACATACCTGGGAATCTATCGAAACAATCGCTGGAAGCTTTGCCCCACCATATACGAGAGCAAATTTGACCTGGAGTGTGTGCCCAGGCGGTCCCACATTGTCAACAAAGTCACCAACCTTGAAGTAACATAAGCCAAGAAGGTAGTTTTGCAGGATGGGTTTATGAAGAGCCCATTAGTAATTCCATCTGCTTGGTTGTGCAGCACAGTTCACTGACTGCAGTTCTGAAAGTCAGTGGTCACATTTTGATCGCAAGTTCTTCCTAAATGTTATTTCAATCTTGTCTTCTCATGCTTTAATATTTTGTAAGTGACCTGGAATACTGTCACATATTTTTTTTTTTTTGTGTGTGTGTATTGAATACATTGTATTCACGAGTAAGAATATAACAAACTAACACTTAATAGACTGGCAGGGTGGTTGAAGTCCTTGATTTGGATGCACATTTTCAAGGGACAGTTTGCACCCAGTGAAGCACTTCTTTTTGACAACGTATGCTGTTTGCTTTGTACTGAATCACAATTACAGAGTTGCCAAATAAATATACTTTTGAAGACCATCTTTACATGTTGTGGTTTTTTTTATTGCCAAGAAAAGTGTTTTGAATGTTAACAGTTAGTCATTCATTACAGTCAAAATTGCATAATTATATTTTGCTTACATCACACGTAAAAAAACAAAACAAAACTGCATAATTACATCTCAATAAAGCATCTTTTACTCGAGTATAGCAAGTTGACCCACAGGTCTGACACAGTTGAGTTAAACTGCAGCCATAATTCATAAAATGACTGTAGAAAAACTGATTAGAGAGCAGGGGAAATGATACCGCCGGACAAAAAGCAAGACCTTTCTGCTATAAGCATGTACTTAATATTGTTTGATAGTTATCTACACGTAGACCTTCATTTGGTTCTTTGCACATTCAGACAGTCACTGCCAACCTTCAGAAAACATTTAAACACATTTAATATAACCCAAAGGGATATTTACTGAAAAGAACAGTGGGCACAATTTGCATAGACTTACCTCTAAATCTGATTACATTCTTTCAGAGAAATAAAAAAAGCCCGTTGTATTAAGTAGAAACACAGATCAAACCTGAACATTTCTGTGACCAGAGCTACCAAAATTGTTCAAATAACAGTACAAGCACATGCTCTACATGTTCCATCAAAACCATCTCAACTGATGCTTTCGTCAGAGCACCTGAGGGGTGTAAAACGAGATGAGATCAACAAAGTCAGGCTTTCTTTCTGTTCGACAAAACCTAAAACCAAAATCACAGCAGTGGTTATCATTTTTCTTTAAAAACCGGGTGTTTTTCATAAGGCTCTGTGCACGTTCCCGTAAACGGGGCCATTTTAAGCTTTATTGGACATTTTGGTGTGCAGCCGACTTCAGTCAGGAGGAACAGTTTTTTATCATGAAGACCTACGATTAATATAGAAGCGGGTGGAAATTTGTGGACCATGTTGATTAACAGTTATTTCTCATAAAACAGCTGCACATCAGAGCTCTAAAACATTTAAACATGACACTCGAGAAGTGCATCTAGGTCTGACACTGTCCTGTGATGAAGGATATGTGGAAAATGTTTTTAAAAAAAAAAGGTGAAATTAGTGGTATTGATTGAAAACCTACTGTGATAAAAAAAAAATCAATGCACTTTGCAGTTTTATAATCTTTGATCTATTAGCTGTAAGGCCAGCAGTGTGAAATGAACAAACAAATCAGGACCGAGCATAAAAATATATAGATTTTCTACATCATCGACTGAATGTATGTCGGTTCCCGTGGCAACACAACGTATACAGTATGCCTACCGTAACTGCACGGTTTTGTTCAGTGGCTTTTTTTAACATATGGTCAAACAGGATTGTAGATACAACGTATTCCATCACCTGAAAAGCTGTATTTTCCAGAGAGAATTTGGTCAGGAAATAAATTAAAAAGGAGAGTCACCGTTATGACATTGAAAACCCTTGACCCCTCAACATACCTTGCTAACCCATCAATCTCATTGTACACCCCTCTGATCTGATTGTCTTTTTGAAAAACAAACACTTGCTGGTGGATCATCTTCCACTATTATTGTTGACACTCAATGAAAGAGTTAATGACTGATGATAAACATGAGACTAATCAATGGGATGAAATCTGATTATGTACCCTGCCCATGCCCTGTGTTTTAACAAACAGTATATAAGATTGGGCCAAACCCACTAACTGCATACCACAAAAAGTCTTTGCTTGTATTTCAATGCGTATGTCCACAATAAGCTGTTCTGCTACATTCTATCTCCTTCAGCTCTTCATGTCCACCGTCCTTTTTTTGTCTGTAGTAACAGCGAAGGAGGCAAAAGGAGTAAATAGAAGTGGTCTTTGTAAAAATGTATTTAAAAAAAAAAAAAAACTGTACACGCCCTTTAAGTTTGGTGTCCTGACACAAACCCAACTTGGTTTCCACCATTCAAAATGGACATAAGACGGTCCTCGTCAGCGGACATCAGCTCATCAAACTCATCGAGTACTGGCTGTTGGCTGTTGTTGCTGGGCGGAATACCAATCATGCCCTCGTTCTGAAGCAGGTTGACAATGCTGTGGGGGTAATTCATCCAGGTGCTTCCTGGGTTGCTGGCGGGGTCAGAAGTGTTCTGGGAGACTGCACTGTTCTGGGCAACAGTTGAGGAGCTGGACGGGACAGCTGGTTGGCTTGAAATTTGACCCAACATAGTGGTGCTGTTTCCTTCCACACTCATGAGGTGGGGGTCCAGAAGGTCCTCGAAATCATCCATGTTTAGGCTGTCCAGGGTGCCTGGTACCTGGGCTTCGGAAAAGCTAGGGAACTCTGGGATATCCTCGTCCACAAGTGCTGCGTCCACCCGGAATTGAGAGCCCTGGAGGGTGAAGGCGCTGCTGGTCTGTGAGGAGGCTACGTTTGCTTGGGAAGCTGCCGGCTCCTGGGTGATGCCAGAGGAAATGGGGAAGAATTCCTGAAGGTCTGCAATGTTGACTGTTGAGTAGTCCTGGTTGGCAGAGGGGGCGGTGGTAGAGGACGAGGAGGAGGAGGCTGGTGCTGGGCTCATTGTAAAGTTGGTCACTGGAGTGGCTTTGGGCTGGGAGCCCAGGTTCAGACTCTCAATGATCTTCCATGTTTGGTTGGTAGTTGCAGCTGAGATTGAAGAAGGGGTCTCTACCTTGGGCTGCACTGAGAAGAGCTGGCCTGGCGGAGTGTACGTGTAGGAGGGCTGGGGTTTTGCCCCAGTGGCAGCAGGGGGCACCACAGCTGCTGGAAACACAAAGTGCAAGAAATTTTAGTTCCACTACTGAAAATCCTTGTAGTCTAACATACACTTTGTACTAAAACTCCAACTATTAATCATCAGTTCAAAGTTGTCTTTTTGTTGCAACACACATTCAATAACTTCATGTTTTTAAGACAGGAGGAAGAGAAGGAGATGGAAAAGCAAATGTCACATTTACAGTACATTCAAGTTTTATTAGGAGACATTAATTATTACCAAAACACAGCATTTGTTTTGCTTATGTATGTTTGGTTTGGTTTATCAAATGTCAAAAAATAGAGGAAAATATCCATCACAATTTCCCAGAATTGAAAAATGACATCTTCAAATGCCCTTTGATGTCTGACCAACAGATCAAAATAACAGAAAATCAAAGTTCTCACTGCAATTAAAATTCTTTGTTCGCTGTGTTTCTTCTAAGTGCCGGGATCAACCAGAAATATTCTGTCTGGAGGAATTAAGTCAATCTCTGCTAGGGACACGGGCAAAGCTCAGCAAATGAATGTTGCTACACTCGGCAGAAATACTGGTCCGACTAGTCAAATGCTGGTTAACTTTTGCATCTCAGATGATACACGGACCCCCTCTCCCTGCGCTGATGCCCAAATGTTGTAAACCGGGAAGGTGGAAAGCAGGAATAACAGCATTTCATAAAACCAGTGCAGTTTGGCAGACAGTGAAAATGAAGCTGTGTCACAATAAACTGACATATTGACAGGAGCAATACTTAACTACACTCAGCACAGATATGTGAACCTGCATGTTTGTTAACTTTTATTCTGTGAGTGTCGCTTGGTTGGATAAGGTGGAATGTTGATATGCAGAGAGCAAATTTAAACAAGATTCGGTTCTCGAGGAATGTGTTTTAAATGGCTCCTAAAGACACTAAGAGTGTTTTCTGAGTGTGTTCTTACTTTTAGATTACTCACCTTATCTAAATGTAAATACCCGTTTAATCGACAGGGAAATTAGGAACGTCCCTAATCTCTGCAGTGATTTAAGAGAATCACGGCCTGTGATGTGAGCAAATAAATAAGGCTCACCTGCTTGGGTGTTCATTGGTGGAGGCTTGGCTGTGGCTGTTCTTCTTGCCTGGCTTATGTACCGTCTATCTTGTGGAATGGACACTGAAATTCCAACAGACATGATTATAACAACAACACGATTATCCTATGATATTATGGCAGAATGATAGAAAAATAAACTTTTCATGAACATACCACTTGATAACATGGGCCCAAGCTTCTGAAACATGTCTCCTGTGCGCTTTCTTTTCTCGGTCAGCCTGTACTCATCTACAAGGGACATTTTTTGAAAAAGTACGTATGAGTATATAGAGTTGATCAACACATTCATCTCAGGTGAGAGTACTTGGAAACATGGGAATATTGCTTCTTACCTGGGTCAGCTGGCAGGTACTGGAAATCCATTGGCTCGCTGACCTCTCGGTCCGACGGCCGCCGGAGCTGCATCTTGACTCTTATGGGCTCGCTGAGGTTAGTGTCGCGGTAGGGCGGCGTTCGGAACACAATGGCAACCTGTCGGTGAACGTCAGCTTGGGAGAAACTGCCCTTGCCCTCCCAGGAGTCCTGGAAGAATCGCACCTCGATGTCCTCTGCACATAAGCAAAAATGGGAGTTGAATACTAAAGCTGAGAATGGATTCCGAACCTAAAGGAAAAATTGACACCAAGCGGCGGCCACACGTTTTCTCTTCGGTGCAAAAGCAGCTTTGAGCTTGAAAGACCCTAAGGAGTGTTGCATCACATTTGCCGCGAGAAAAAGTTTGACAGCAGCTTACAGGCCTCGCAATTGGCTTCAGATATTTAACTTCAAACTAAAAGAAGTAATGTTCAAAGTAAAAATGTGATGGCTCTGCTTGCTGTGAAAATGACTACATGACAGTCTCCCGGTGATATCAGGACCAAGAGTAGAAAAAAATTAGTCCAAGTTTCAGGGTTCTCAGGCTTTTTTTTTTCCCCACAATGATGTAATGTGTATCCGGCTTAAGCAGAACCATGGAGCACTCAGGGGAACGTCCAACATCCAAAACACAAAGCACATGGTTTACAGCAAATACGCCTGACTTGATCAAACGGCTGCAGATAACTGAGAGGGGAAAAGACTTCAATTAGAAAAAAACTAATCTTTGATAACGATACAAATATTTATGCTTTCTTTCAACGGAGCGTTAATTAGTAAAAGGCCATGCAAAGAAATCAAACAGAGGCAGAGAGAAAAACTGAGTTCACAAGGAGCAGGAAAGCTGACAGTTTAATAGGCTGGACTTTATATCAGCACAGCTCCCACGCAGGAAACTTTTCCAATGTGAACTTCATGTCATGCTGCAGAAGCTTTTAAGATTGGCTTTCATGTATGTAGCTTTTTCAAAGAAAATTCTGAAGCTGTTTTCAAATTCAGTATGTGCTTCTAGGAGGTAAAGACTTATCACTGTAAACATAAAGCATGCTATTGATTTGTTTAAAAAAATAAACTATCAAACAGGAAATATGGGAAGTGGGCAGGTGAATAGAGGAAGAAAGTTTCTGGTTCGTGATAAAAGTCACTCAGAGACACTCGACTGCTACTGTGACAGGCAACGAAACCTCACGTGTGCAACAACGGCGTGTTTTTTGAAACCATACTTGATAATTTACTGCATATGCTGCAGTATGTTCTGTTGTTGTGGCATAGGATGGAGCCGAAGACACGGCATTGATGTTATCACTTCAAACAGCTACCTGTCTACAAATCTAGCAGTGAATTTCAGCACTAAGTTGTGGTCGTGTCAAATGCTCCACATTGCTCAGCAGCTGGTTGCTAATTTAGTCTGTCTATCAGAAAAAAAAAACTGCCTGTTGCAGCTGGAAGTGACGTCAATGAGTGCTGGAAAGTTTGCAGGAAAACATCAAAACATTTCCCTGAAGGAGGCGAAAGCTGCAGGCTTGGTTTGATCAGTTTCTCTGGGTTTATTGCCACAAGCGACACTTTTCCCATTAAAGAGTCATTTGATACGGTATTTAAATTTAAATGTTGATTAGTCCAATTAGCAAATAAGGTAATTTAAAACACATGTGGACTCTTAAGCGTTCTTGATGTAAAGTAAGAACTTATGGCATCATGTAAAATTTTATATTTCTCTAAAAATCACGTGTCCGCAAGCAGTTTTCCAACATTAGCGAACATAAACTAGCAGTCACACCCGATCAAGCCCTGCTGTAGTGGCTCATTGCAATAAAGTGCCAAAGGGTGAGTTTTAAAGCCAATAAAGGTGTGTGTGTGTCCACCAAAGTACTTTTTGTTTTCGTGTTAAAGTTAGCAGTTTCTAAACAGTTTGGAATGGTAGTAGACTATTTACGCTATACTAAAACGGCAGCAGAGTGACCAAGCTTGTAAAAGCGCTTGTAAAAGTGCTCACCTATTGCTAAACAACAACGAAGGAAATGTTACACACACCCTGCACTGAAAAACAAGTTTTTATTTACCTTGTTAACATGTCCATAAGGTGTTTTTGAGTGAAATAAGTAGTGGCAATACTCAACTTTCCGCCTTAAAATGCAGAATACTGATGACAGTCTTAAAGAACGGATTCAGAAAGCCAGAGTTCCATACGTAACAAACCTAAGGAAACAATCCTGTCTACTGTATCAATATGTTTCTTGCATGTGTGGCTGAATTACTGCAATATCACAACCTTACAAAGAGAGGATGGATTTTCACATTCTTACAAAAGCAATGGCAAAGAATCACGTTTTGAGGATGTGATTACTCTCATGGGAAAAACTCCCAAGTACGTCATTTTAATGAATTCAATAATTTCCCAATGAGACCGGCTTGCAGGAGTTTCATCAATGACAAGAAAGGGACTTTAATGCTGCTTGTCTCAGATTATCGACGTCTTTACCAGATAACATTCCCACACAATCACAATATTGATATGAAAAATAATGCTTGAAGGAACATTTCGTTCACCATCAGTCTACAAGTTAAACAGCTGAGTTCGCTTGTTGACTGATCCTGTGTGGATACTGTGTGGATATTCGGTATGATAACAACAAAAGCTGTAAAAACCTTCTACTCAGAAGAATCCCCAGTTGGGCACTTAAAATTATTTTATTTGTGCAAGGTAAAAATGTGATTGCATCTTTAAGAAGTCTTTGCTTTTAATGAGGTTGGTGAACCGTGGTATGTTCAAACAAATATTGCATTAGCTGTAACTGAAATGAGCATATGTTAACCTTTAAGACTCTGTATGCCCTGCTAGATAGACACAGGATAAAGGACTGGGCAGTTCTGTGTGTGTTTTCAAGCAGCTTTCAAGGCGTAATAAAGCACATTTCAATGTCTTTGCAACTGCAGTTGTGAAAAACGAAACTACATTGTGAAAGTGTTTTTATCACCTCCACTGAAAAAAAACATACAACACTGCTGTCCATCTGTAAACCTCAAAGTAGTCAGAAAATGTAGTACACGTTATGATGAGTTTCAATTTCAAGCCCACTTACTTAAAAAGAGACAGCGTACTGTGAGTGTAACAGCCCCTCCCTCTGATCTCTTGTGGGTGGGAAGGTTTACTCGCTTTCCGCTGCAGATGCACTGCAAGGCTTACAACTGCTTAGTCAAACCTGATGTCTATTTATGGATCGTTTAATGTGAAAGTGCAAGTTAAATAGTCGCGCCAAGTGTTACTGTGTTCTTACAGTGTTTGTACAGTACAGCGATGTTGTACCTTTTTGCACTTTGTCACACAGCAGAAAGATTTCGTCCCCTCCTTTGCAGCTTCCAGAGTTGCGGTTGACTCTGCAGATCTTCAGCTCAGCTGTGTTGGGGGCCCCTGAAAGACAGAGGAAGCGCGTATGAACAAATGAACAGAATACCAGCGCTAAAGATTGGTGTTGCGGTGCGGTGGCGGACAAGTTGACACACCAGAGACAGCTAAACAATTCACTTCTGTCCTCTGTATAACTGCAAACGTCTGTCTTAATGTCGTATATTACTGTGATAATATGTGAAATATTACGACTGCTGCTCGTTTTGAAAGCCAGCCTCTGTTCAATTTAAAAGTGAAAATAAAATAACATAAAACTCTCTTTTATTCTGACATTTTAGAGCAAGTGTAAACAGTCGATCCTTAAGCGACCCAGAGTACAGTCAACACTGCTAAAAACAAAAAACACACCACATATTATGCAACATATTTCCCACATTTAAACTTTATGAGAATATAAAGAATATTTAAAAATGCTTTGGTGACCGTGTTTCACATAACAACTGAGTGACATTACAGTATGCTGAAGGTTAATTCTTGTAAACCGCTTCAGACTGAAAAGAAAAGTTAACATGAAAGAGGAACCAAGAGCGTCTGAGAGAATGGAAGCTTGGAGGTTAGGTTTGAGTGTGAACTTTGCGATTGTGTGGCTACGTAGAGCTTACACAGATAGTTGCGTTTTATTCAGATGTAATGGATCAGCTTACCCTGACAAATTTTCCCACAGAAATCACTGAAATTGGAATTTGTTTTGCCAAAGTTTATGACTTACTATGAGCAGCTTTTGCCTTAAAGTATCGATCAGTGTTTCCTCTACATTCATTTAGGAGCGGCGGCCTTCCATTCCTAAATCCTAGCCGCCGCTCCTTAAAAATTTCTTTCTTTTTTTTTTTGTTATTGTCGCAAATACATCACCGCCGCACGTCTCCACCTTCACAGCAGAGTCCTGCACTGGGCTGGGTGCTCGCGACTACTACGGTAAACTACAGATAACTATTTTGCTCAGTATCTGTATCAACAATGTCCCTGAGGTTTCCACCAAAGGGATCAATAAAGTTCTATTCTATTCTATCTACTCTCTGGGGCTTAATACAACATTCATTGCTCTCGAGAGCGCGGCTGTAAAAGTGGCGTTGTTTATTCCGCTCATAGAAAAGACCGCATGAGGAAAAAATGCCTTGGTGTCATCTTGGACAAATCTGACGTTAGAACACCCTAGTTTACTCTTTTTAAAGTCATCTTTTGTCGCACACCGGTCTGAGCAGCGAGCACAGCCTGCTATGTGGGGCGTTCAGGGAACATTGTAAATTGTAGAGTCTATTGATAAGAAAATGTTCAGCCGGTCATATGTTTTGCCTGTGACAAGATGGGAAGTGAAAACAAATGAGAAAGTTGGTCACACTGGTTAAAAAAAAAAAAAAAAAAGAGTTAGTCTGGAGTCCTGTGTGAACTTCTGTGTGGCACGAGTGTTGTTTGGTAAACGGCTATGTATGTAGTGACATATGGCGTGGCTCTAACTTGGCTCCTGGCCAATTGAAAAGCAACCGGTTCTTTGGAGGTGCCAGATTTGAACTAGCACCTGGTTCTTCTTGGTAGAAAAGGGGTAGAGTCAGAGAAGGGTCGTCTTGGAGAATAGGGCAGCAACTTACCACAGAAAAGGTAGACTTATTAGCTTAAGGTCACTCAGAATAGATTTTACAAGTCAAATAGACTTTCACAAAACATCGATGGCCCGCTATTGTTACGCAACATATCAGTAGCTTAAGTTAATCGGGCCCGGTGCCATCTCAGTGTCGCTAGTGTGAGTAAACTAATTGATAGCATTAAGCTAACATCTACACGCTGTGATGGAACTGCTGACTCCATCTTCAGATGAGCTTGTTCAAATATTTCTCTAAGAAGAGTAAGACACCTGATGAAGATGACGCTAGCCAGGTATCATTAGCCTTTTACTGACTCATAAATGATGATGGTCAGGTAAAAAATAGTGTAATATTATATCATCAGATACAAACTAGAAACAATTTTAATTGATCAGGGTGTATGAAAATGAGAGAAACAATCTCATTTTTGTTTCTATTTGTAGGTGAAGACTGACTAGAGAAACAGGCTTCAGGGGATCAGCTTGCATCATGTCTGCTGCTGAGCATCAGCGGCCACCTCTTGGAGAATTTCTCTACAACAGCCTTAGAGCTCTTTCATTAAAAAAGAAAAACAACTTACATTGATTTTTTATTTTTTTTTGTTTTACATTCAGCCTTTAAAAAGCCATTTTTAATTGGCCATTCAATAAATAGGTTGTAAAAGTAAAATCTGAAGTCAAATGTCATTCGTTTACGCCGCCACAGCTCCCCGGAGAGCTGCTGCTGAAAAAAAATCCAAGAGGAAACACTGTCGATATCAGCTTAATACACTGCACTTGTACATATGTGTCGTCAACTCACTGTTGTCGTAGATGGGCTGCGATACCACAGGCTCCAGAGGAAACAGCTCTCCCGTGGGCAGAGTGATAGAAGCCTGGAAGCAAAGTCGGACCGAATTCAGGTCAAACTCTTCCTCCCACACCTTTGTCTCGGGGACTGAAGCCAAGACACAGAAGGAAAAGGGTGGAGTTCACAGTCAGGCAACATAACAGTCTGGCGATACACTGCATCCTGTTGTATGTAGGTGTAGTATTTCAATATCGGTGAAGGGTGAAAGGAACAAATGACAATAATAATTCCATTATGATAGCCAATCATTTGTATTTCCTATTCCTCTGTTAAATCACACTGACTGTCACTGCTTATGTTAATCATCCAGTTTGTAATTGAACTTTATATAGTGTAAGAACAGCCCCTTTCAGACTAGTTTGTTAGCTTTGCTGCTTAATTCAAGCTTGAAAAAAAATGACTGATGCTAGCGGTAAAGTATGAGCATTTTGACATGAGTTACAGAATTTCCACTTTTTTTTACAGTCACTAAGTAATTTCTGCCTATTTAAAAGCATCAGTCAGAAACAGCCCTTTCTACTTCAATAAGACTCCAGCAAAATAATACTCTTTACATCTGAGTGCGACATTCAGCGACTCTCCACACAGCACAATAACTTTCCACACAATGACAGATTTAGCAGTAAAAGGGCGATGACACAAAAAGCGCTTTGTGTCGAGCACTCATCTCGAACCGTGAATACTTACTGTTGAAGGGGTTATTATTGGTCTGCAGTCTGCAAGTGATGGCCTCATTCACATCCTTCTTCTTCACACACTGTATGCCCAAGTTCTGGAAACTGAAAGATACAAACACAGTGTAGATGACAGGAACCCACTGGAGCATGTGAGTACTCCATAATTTGCAATAGTTTTAGGATTTGGGAAACAACAGATCTACGCGGTGTGCGTGTTTGCTCCATTAGCCACCGTTTTAATCTGCATCGCTTCTCAACTTTCTGCTCCTATAAAAAGCCACATTTAAAAATAATAAAGCCTCAACACTGTGGGTCACTGACCACATGTGCAGTTTGAGAGGACAATTTAGGAAAGGCGAGGGTAAACGGAAGAATATTTCACTTAAGGTGCAATACCAATAGATGAAGACATTCTAGAAATCCAGTAGGATAAGCTAGTTAAGAACATAAACACTTGATACTGTAAAGATGCCAATAAACACTCACACAACATGGCCAACTGCCATTTAAATACACCTAATTAGAATAAATTAAATGAGCCTTTGTTTCATTCATGTCTTGCACTTCTTCCTCTTTCAACCCCTTCCACATTTCTGTTGACAAACGAGTAGACATTGCATTACAACTTCCTCAGGGCTCCCTCAAGAATTTGCTGATAGCAGATTCTGCAAATTCCACAGTGTTACGTGACTACTTACTTTAGTGAACGCCAACTTTTCTACCGGCAGTACAAACCAGTTTGACTGACCTCTGATACAATTAAGCATTCACAGCTATCCCTAACAAGAAAACATTGCAAAAACACAACAGCTGGCCACCTGTTGTGCGTTTTTTTAAAATGTTTTCTTGTTAGGTTTGATGTGAAATACATAACTCGAACCACAGGTAAGAACATAAGACTAAGTGATTATATATTGACAAAATCTAATGGTTTGTCTTGCGCTGAACGCCAGAACCCACCAGTGGGGTTGTAAGACATGTTATCTAAAAATAAACCACTCCATTTATCAGAGAAAACAGAAACAGGAAGAATGATCAGGATCTCTGTTCTCAGACTTTCACCGCACTGATCGTATGTGACGTGCAGTTCCAGTAGGAAAAACAGCCAAATCTAATCTTAAAATTGTGGTGTTTCAACATCATCATTGACATATTATTCTGTTTTTTTTTTTAAAGGCCAAAACACAGTGCTTAACTTAACTGTGACAAACAAGCACCTAACAAAAATTCTGAGACTACTCGGCTAAACTGTAGGCTGTGCTTAAACAGAGCAGATAGGAGACAAGCATGGAAGCATGTAAGTAGGAAAATATTTCTAGTACGTCGAGCCTCCATATGGAAATTATTGGTGGCACCTAGAAAAATGTCAAATAAATAAATACAAATAATCTTGTAAAATAAATCATGAAAACCATCTTTGTTTTTACTTTTTTGAATGATTTATGACATTATACATTTAATATTGCACAAAAGGCACTTATCTACTTCTGGCCATGGCCGAGCAGTTTCCATAAGAGCTGCAGGACTTTATACTGCAGTGAAAGCATGAATCCATGTTGAGTAAAAATGTGACAAAAGCAACAACACTCAGAAACTGCTCAGGGTTCAGAGAGTTAAAAATAATAGTTTGTATTAACTGTGATGTCGAATAAAAATATTTGTCATTTAGACTTCTGGGGGCTGCAAGGTGGAGCAGTGGTTAGCACTGTTG